AAAATTTTACAGGTAAAGCAACAAGTTAGATCTGAAATCATCAAATCTGTGTAACACAAGAGCTTGTGTTCCTGCAGCTGGTTTTCACCTAAATTGCATGAGGAAGCCATTTCTAGCCAGCTGCTAAAATGTCTAAATGAAGTCAGTGGTCTCACGATCACGGTCCATGAACTTTGCGGCAGAAGGGCCACTTCTCCCCTGGGAATGCTAATAAGGTATTGCCCAGGCCAGGCGCATGTCTCAGTCCTGTAATCTCAGCACTTTGGGAGGTGAGGCAGGTGGATCATCTAAGGTCAGGAGTTCAAGACCAGCCTGACCAACATGGTGAAACCCCATATCTACTAAAAATGCAAAGAATAGCTGGATGTGGCAGCACATGCCTGTAATCCTAGTTACTCAGAAGCCTGAGACAGAAGCCTGAACCTGGAAGGCAGAGATTGCAGTGAACTGAGACCATGCCATTGCACTCCAGCCTGGGCAACAAGAGCAAACTCTGTCTCAAAAAAAAAAGGTGTTGCCCAAAGGCAGTTCAAGTGTTCGTAAAATTCTCCTTGTTTCCATGGTGCAGTAGGCTTCAGCAACTTCTCTTTGGAGTTAATCAAGTATTTAATATCATTTTTCTGTTGAAAGACGTGATTTGTAAGAGGCACTGGCAGTATTTTTTTTTCCCCTTGTAAATCTTCACGACATAGGACCTGAATGGCCTGCTCTTCCCTCTGTGGCCATTTGCTCTCATTCTCTCCCCAGGTGAGGTGGAGAACACCTGTGCGGGGCTCGTCTGGCGTCATTGAGATGGCATCACTTTCTTTTCATTGGGTTTAAATAAATCTGTCCATTGACCGCTGCTTGGGAGCATTGTTTTCACACGCCCCGTCCTTCTAATTGTAGAAATTGTAAAATGTCTTAATAGTTCTCACAAGAGTAAATATTCAAGAATCACATTGTTTGCATGTAATGGCCATGTCATTACATCATTTTTACCCATGCCAGAAAATCACTATGAGGCAATACACAAAATTGATGTCTGTGTCTCTATGATTTTTTTCTTTTTAAAAATTTGTATTTACCAGCCATGTGTTGAGTGGTTCTTTGTTGATTTTCAGAAGGGATATATAAAATAAGTATAAAATAATACTGCTATGGGAAACATGGCTTTCCCTCTTGTACATAGGCTGAGGGACTGAATGTCTGGAGTCATGTGAATCACATGTGAATGAGATCCCTTTCCCAGGTGACGTAGAGGAGGAGCAGAGGCAGGGGACAGGATGAGGAAAAGGTGAAGGAATGAAATCGTGATAACCACAGCTAGCCCTTCCCCAGCACTTCCTCTCTGCTAGTCCTCCCAGCCTGCCCAGCACTGCATAGGAAAGATACTGTGACCATCTCCCCTTTGTGGAGGAGAAAATGGAAATGTTGGTGTCCAGTGATTTCCTGAAGGCTTCCCAGCTGGCAAGGGTGGAGCTGACATTGGAGCACAGGCATCCTGACCACAGAGGCACCACTTCTTCCCCCGGTCCCCCACACCACAAGGCCTCAGACACAGGGAAGGCTGTCCTTGGGCAGTCAGCCAGCCAGGGTCATGGACCAGGGCAAGCCTTCCCAAAGAACTTCGATTTGGGTTGCCCTGTTGGTGCATGGTTATAACTTTATGGATTTCTATATCCACAGGAAACTTCTAGTGGTGTTACTATATTTAACAAATAACATAGCTCTGTATCTGTGAATTGAGGAGGCTGATGTTCGTTGTCAACTCATCAACAAATGTTTAGTATTTTTGATGTGCCCAGTCCTGTGAGTTTCACGGAGGCACTGATGAAATGTCATAAAGTATAGGTTTTGTGGACAGACAGAATGCCCCCCTCTAGTGGAAATGAGCCTCTAGTCATAGTCGAGCCACCAGCTCTCACCCGTGCAGCCTCAGAAGATTTGAGTAGAAATTTCTACCTACAGTCTAGCCTCCTCTAGTGTCTTATTCATTCTGCAGTGACAGTGATCTTTCTAAAATACAAACCCTTGGATTGTAATGAAGGCTGGCTTTGGGGTAAAAAAAAAAAAAAAAGGAAAGAAAAGAAAATACAAACCCAGCCCAGGTGCGGTAGCTCACACCTGTAATCCCAGAACGTTGGGCAGTCGAGGGGAGCAGATCCCCTGAGGTCAGGAGTTTGAGACTAGCCTGACCAACATGATGAAATCCCGTCTCTACTAAAAATTAGCTGGGCACCTACTGGGGGGACTGAGGCAGGAGGAAAAAGGCTTGAACCCAGAAGGCAGAGGTTGCAGTGAGCTGAGATTGCACCACTGCACTCCAGCTGTGTGACAGAGTGGGACTCCATCTCAAAATAATTAATAATAATACATTACAAATAAAATAAAATGCAAACCCAGTATAGACACTTCTCCAAGTCCAGCCTTCCATGGCTCTCCATTGTCATTTGCTTGGAACCCAAAGGCTGTCACGTGGCCTCCATGACCCTCCAGGGCCTCCCGCTGCCTCCGCCAGTGTCTTCAGAAGCCCTGTCCTTGCAGACCTCATTCCTGCCACACTGAAGTCCTCCTTGCCCTGCTGTTGCCATAACCTTTCACTGTCGACTTCCTGTATAGCCGATCTTAACGCTCACTCCTTCTTGGAACACATTTGTTTGTCGTCCCTCTTCAGAGCCATTCTCTTTCTCTTTGTTTTTTCTTTGTTGAGATGGAAGCTCGCTCTGTTGCCCAGGATGGAGTGCAGTGGCGCGACCTCAGCTCGCGGCAACCTCCCCCTCCCAGGTTTAAATGATTCTCCTGCCTCAGCCTCCCATGGGATTACAGGCACTGGCTATTTCACCTGGCTAATTTTTGTATTTTTAGTGGAGACAGGGTTTCATCATCTTGGCCAGGCTGGTCTCGAACTCCCGAGCTTGTGATCCCCCTGCCGTTGGCCCCCCAAATGCTGGGATTACAGGCGTGAGCCACCGAGCCCAACCCATAGCCATTCTTCATATTCAGCAAGGCCCTCGGTTGGGTGTGGCTGGGTGCATGGGCTTGTGGTGCCTGGGCCATGCCCCCTACCTGGGGTCTGTGACAGGGATAACAGACATTCCCTCATTCCCTTCAACAGAGCAAATGCTGTGGATGGAGGGAAAGGCACAGGCAGTGCGTCTCATGGTAATGGAAGCCACAGTCACCCTGTGAGTCCAGGAGACCCAGTGAAGGACACAGAGATGGAGAGGACCTTGACAGGCCATTTCCTGGCCTGTATGCAAGTGGCAGGAAGAGGCCTCTGGTGGTGTCACGGTTTTCTAGCTCTCTTTTAATTTATGAGATGTAATTCCTAACATTATTTTTCTGATGACGGCATTGGCACATTCTTAGCTCGATGAGTGTGGCATTGAACCTGAGGACGGGCAGGAGTCACTGCCTCGTGTGGCCATGTGTTCCCAGTTTCCTTTCTCGGTTCCCTCACGCAAGTCCTTTGTGTGAGAAGAAAATACTCAGTGGGCAAAGTGGCCTCCTGCCCAGGACGAATCCCTTAGAGGTCTTCCATGCTGTTTCCTCTCGCTTGGCAAATCAGCCTCTTTCATTTCCTTAAAATATGTGATTTCATTCTTGCCGTCCCTGCGTCACGATGTCAGAAAGAAGCTGGCCGGGTTTCAGGGGCTGAGGTGGGCAGGCCCGTCCTGGAGCCTGGGTGCTATGAGAGGGCGTTTCTTTGTCCCGAGATCGTGAGCAGCTGTGTTTCCCTCCGTGCCCGTGCCTTTCTGGTGTGCTTGTGGTGAGCTTGTGTTCCTTTCCCCTAAAAGGTTAGGAGTTTACCACATTGCTGAGGCGGGGAACACCTATAGGGCAAGACTGCCAGATAGATCGTTTGGTAAAGGAAGCAACCAGTGGACATGTTAGTTAGGTTACTTGGAGCAACCAAACAAACCCGTAGGTCTGGACCTAAAGGCAGTGACTCCCGAGATTTGCCACCCTGGGCATCTTGCCAGTACAGCCCCTCTTTACTCAACAGCTGAGGGACGCTTTCCTGGGAGCTTTGAACTCCCAAGCCCCTGACATACGGGGGCTCCTGAGCATTCAGAAAGGTGGGGGGCAGATGCCACAGGTCAATGTGCTTGAGCCCTGTGCCCTGGGAAATGGGGAGCCATGGAGAACTTCTAATATTATAGTAATGTTGCGTCATGTTTGCACTGAAAACACTTATTCCTGGCAGCAGAGTGGAGACTGGCTTTTATCAACTCAGACCCAGAAGCTAGGGGGCAATTAAGGAGCAATTCCTGTGAAAAATGACAGGGATCTTATATTATTAGAGTTCTGCAAAGAACCAGAACTAATCAGATGTGGATGTGCCTGTGTGAGGTAAGGGTCCTCCTGCACTGCAGTCCTTGATAAGACTTCTAAATAAAACTAACTTTAATTCTTTAAAAGCCTGCCCTTTTTTTTTTTTTAGCTGACAAGAGACAAAGAAAGATTTGTTTTAAGGAATTGGCTCATGTGATTGTGGGGACTGGTAAGTCCAAAATCTGCAGGACAGATCAGCAGACCAGATGCCCAAGAAAGAGTTCAGTATTGCGGTTCAAGTCTGAAGTCCAGAATTCCCTCCTTTTGGGGGACCTCCTTCTATTCAGGCCTTCAACAGACTGGATGAGGCCCAGCCCCATTATGGGAGGTCATCAACTTCACTCAAAGTCTACAGATTTGAGTGTTTATCTCACCTAAATATGCTCTCACAGAAATGTCTAGAATAATGCTGGGCTAAATATTTGTCTACTGCAGTCTAGAGAAGTTGACACATAAAATTAACCATCACAGACTCAGCCAACATGAATATCAGATACACAGGAGGGAGTAGCTTTGCTGGAAAATGGGGAAGCAGGGTCTGTGTGATTTGGTGGCATCAGGAAAAGGCTGGAGGGTGAGGCCAGGGGCATCCCACTTCTGGGATGAAAGGAAGGCAGGTGGCAGGAAGGGAAGAGGGAGCAAAGATGGGGATCGCTGGCTTGGATGCCCATTACCCACCAGACGGAGATGTCTGTAAGCAATGTCTACAGCTGTGGAGCACAGCAGAGAGGTTGCAGAAGTCATCACCAGACCGAGGAGAAGACTTCTCTTACTCTGATGAAAAAAGTAGATGGAGGGAAAAAATGACTTTAAAAAATGCACACGTTATATATACCTGAAACATTTATTTTTACTTAAAAGACATATATATGCATTCATTTGCTAATTCTTTTAATTGAGGCCAAAACTTTTTTTGAGCAGGCCCCACCTATGGAAGTCTCTCAGTGGGCCATTTCATCAAACATGCTCATGGCATGTGATTTACATCTTGGGTTTCTTTAAAGAAGGATGAAACTTGTCCCATGTATCTGAGTGGGAAGTCATTTTAAAATTTTTATGTTTCCTCAGTATTTTACGTTTGTCTCAGCCACACCTAATTTGACAGCAATGCCGTTTAATGACTGGTCTCAACTGAGTCATCCCAAAGATTTAGCTTCGTTTTCATAGGAACAGCCTTTCTTGTCTAATGCTCGTGTTTCATGGAGCTACACCAAATTTAATCATATTACGCAATTCCAGTAACAAGTTCAGCTGCCATAAACAGATTGGAGGACAGACGCGACCCATTCCCTGTGAGCCCTGGAGTGGCAGCAGAAGGATGCTGACATCCCTTGGCAAGGCTGGCACCTCACCCGCTGGCGCTCGGCACAGTGTGGGCAGCCGTCAATGTACTTTGCCAAGGGATGGAAAGATGTGGTGAGTCTGATGTGTCACTTCAGAATGACTGAAGAAGAGTTTCTAATGAGGCTGGAAGCAAACCAGGGGGCAGGGAGGAGCCCAACCAGGCAGCGCATCTAGTGTCCAGAGATGAACAGAACAGACAGGTAGAAAGCCAGCAGGACAGAAGTCGATCAAGCACACAGAATAAATACGCTAGTGCTCTGCCCTCCTGGGACTAGAAAGCTGAGGGGTCTCACACCGGAAGTTATATGCCCTGTGGAAAACCACTGTGTGTTTCAATGCTGGGGTAGCAGAAGAATCTTTGTAACCCAAACAGTGTTCCCAGTAACCAGGATCTCCATTACAACCTTCCACGTCCAAATACAGCGTACGTTTAAGATCTTGCCCTGGGCCGGGCACGGTGGCTCACGCCTGTAATCCCAGCACTTTGGGAGGCCGAGGCAGGTGGATCACGAGGTCAAGAGATCGAGACCATCCTGGTCAACATGGTGAAACCCTGTCTCTACTAAAAATACAAAAAATTCGCTGGGCATGGTGGCGCGTGCCTGTAATCCCAGCTACTCAGGAGGCTGAGGCAGGAGAATTGCCTGAACCCAGGAGGTGGAGGTTGCGGTGAGCCGAGATCGTGCCATTGCACTCCAGCCTGGGTAACAAGAGCGAAACTCTGTCTCAAAAAAAAAAAAAAAAAAAAAAAAGATCTTGCCCTGAGGGTAGAGCATCCTTGGCTTGGAATATCTCCACAGTTCGTAAACTGGGCTGTTCAGGAGGCTTGAGAGAATGTTCACATTGGAGATCACTACCTTTATTTTTCAGATCTCTTTATTTCAATATTGGTAGAGTCAGTATATAAAAGGAAGCAGCTGGGGTCCATCCCAGCTCTGAAACCCCTTGGGTTCTGGGAGGGTCCCCCTTTGAGAAGGAACTCAAGCTTCCATGACTGCACTGACAGAGGCTAAGTCACGGGCTCTGGGCCAGCAGCCTGCTGCAGACATGCTCTTCCAAACCAGGAGGGCTGCGCAGAACCAGAGAGGCTGCTCCACAGAGGAGCTCAGATGGGCTTTGCTGAGATGCTAATGACAGGGAACGAAAGCATCTGTTTTCTCTGGAAGAGTCAATTGACCAGACTCTCCCGCCATCTCCAGTTTTTGTATTGGCACATTCTAGTTAGTTCTCATAATGGTTAAAAAATATAAATAGTACAACTTTAATACAAGAAATTGAGGCCACAAAGGGGAAGGGACAGTGGCTCAGAATTTTCATGGCCAGTCTCGGGGATTTTCTGAAGAGTTGGATGTTACATTTCCAAAATCATGTTTCCAAAGCTGCCAGCCATCCAGGCCCTCAGGGCATTGCACAGTTTCAGATTCCTGATCCCTAACCCCTAGAGACCAGGGCCATCGGATTTCTGGTTTATACAGAACAGGAGCGAGACCAGGAATGTGCAGGTGTTTGAGAGTCCCACAGCAGCTGCCCCTTTGTGCTATCCTTGGACATGAGAATGTTGGATGTTAAGCCTGTTAAAGTGGAGGGAGTTACCTCTTACACAGACAGGACTCAACCTCAGATGCAATCAGGCCCAGATCATTAGGTTGCCTGCCCGTGTGTTTCCACCCCAGTCATTTTTAGTCCACAGCAAAGGTGTTTGTAGTAGAAATCGTTGGCACAATGGGTGGGTGTTGAAGGGGCACAGAAGTGACAAGGGAGAGGTGTCCTTCCAGCACAGAAACCTGAAGAGGACAAAAGACTCTCGTTCTTTTGTGCAGACCAAGAATGATTCTGACTTTGACAACAGCGCCGTTTTGGAGAGGGACTGGCAGTCGGGTGTGCATCTCCTTGGTTCTGGGAGCTCAGTCTCCACAAACATAAGACGAGGCTGGTAAATGTGACAATGCTGGAGCCCTGCCCGGCACATAGAGGGCAAAGATGGGGATCACTGGCTCTGGATGCCCTTTACCCCCCAGGTGGAGATGTCTGTAAGCAATGGTTTATACGGCTGTGGAGCACAGCAGAGAGGACATAGGAATCAACACCAGACAGGAAGAGAAGACTTCTTACTCTGATGAAAAAAGTAGACTGCATTGCTCTTTCTTCCAGTCTTCCCTGGAAAGCGGGCAGAGGGGCAGCCTCCCAAGAACCACAGTGCTGTCGTCATTTAGAGTTGAATGGCTCCCCTTTTAAATAGGGATGCAAAAGCCCCCAGTGTTCTGCAGAGGAAACCCTCAGATGAGGAGTTTTTGTTGAAAGAGGGAATTATTGAGGCTGCCTGTTTTGAAAAGCGAGGTCAGTTTCTTTGGTCTGTGTGTCTCATAATTCCATGTTCCCTGTCTTTCCCCCGTCAGTGAAAGCTCTGTAGATCATACTGATTCCTTTTAAGATAAGATCTGATGACAGGATGGTGAGACAGGAAAACCTGGTAAAAATGGCATGTCGGCCTCAGAGCAGTAACTCTGCACATACCTTTGGCTGCTCACAGTCCATGAAGTTGATGCCCTCAGCCCTGCCTTTGTGGGGAGATTTGATGTCCTCAATTTGGCTTTGTGTGCTTCAGGAAAGAAAGCCTGCATTTAGAGATGAAAACAATTCAGTGTTTGTGTCTGGCTGTAAACCTCTCCTTCGGTTTCACAAGCCAAGCAAAGTGGTTTGACTTTTGAGGCTGAAGAAAATGAAGTGACTGTCAAGTCACAAGCTTCCAAATGCTCACGGTGAGGCCTGGGGTGCTGGCCCTGTTCCTTGTCAACCAGTTGTCAGAACTAGGTTGTCCGTTCCCATGTGAAAAACCAGACAGACCTTGGCATTAAATCCTAGACGGACACCTCCCAGGAGACAGTCTGAGGGTCCTTCTGTGCCAGACAGTGTCAGGAACATCTGTGCGAACTGTGACTGAGGGAGGAGCTGGCATGTTGCTGTCATTTCTGACGTCCTGACTGTTGGGTTCTGGAGAATTTGATTTCTGATGCACTGACTTGTGGATTTTAGGAGGATTTGGAGACTGGAGCGCTTTGTTCCAGAAGGCACTGGGCGTGGACGTGGCACATTCTATCTAATAGCTGGGTCTACCTATTACGCTCATTTACATACCTGGTTAAGGATAACATTGTTTCAGGGCTGGACTTCTACCTCTGAACTTGCTTGGAGTGTCGCTGGCACCAGGTGACACTGATGAAATGTCTTTTGTCCTAGACCCATAGCAAATCTCCAAGCCAGGGAGGAGGAAAACAAGCTAAAAAGGCCCTTGGCCACCTGCCACACAGGCTTGGGACATCAGTGTCTTCCAAGTTCTGCTGATCTTGGCCACTGTACTTTCTTTCAGCTTACAGCCGGCCTGCCCTCTTAGTTAATTTGTTAACTAGTGTTCTTCCTATAGAAGAGGCAGATTTTTCCAACTGTCATCTGTTTATTGTTGAATGTGCATTGTTATCTTTAAAACACATTACATTAGATCTCAAATTATACACGTGAACATGCTGCTATTTTATATGATGACAAGATTGTTGCGTCTTCAAAAGCCAAGTAATACTGATCCTGTCAGACCATGCTGGCAGCTGTGTTGGCCCCTGGGCCATTGAGTCTGCAGCCTGTGAGTATCTGAATATAGTTAGTGACATGAACAGTTTAATTTAGAACAGCCTACTGGAAAACTGTGACCATATAGCAGCATGCGGACATCAGGAGTGCCCACGTCCAACTCTGATGCTGAAGAGACACCGCCTAGTGAATGCTGTGTTCTAATGTTGCCTCACAGCATCCAGCACCTGCCCTGCTGGAACTGAATCCAGCCGGCAGCTGGAGCCCCTACTGTTCATCACTGCCTCTTGTAGGTTTGTCTCATGACAAGGCTTCTGCCGCATTGTTATTCCCTGTCTTTACTGTGTTATAAGACAGGACTATAAAGGAGGCCAAGAGTTATTCTTGAAAACAGAGCAAGAATGGTGAAACTTCAAAAAGAATCAACAGACAGAGAAAACTGAAACTAAATTCTAAAAGGGAGGACTCGGGGAGACTTGCGGATGTGAAAGCCACCAGCAGAGCATGGCCGCCCTGGTGGGGCTCGGCCTGTTGCAGCAGCTGGGGTCTGCCCAGCACTGGTCTCTGCGTCTGAATCGTCATCACAACACATAGCCCGCTGGTGTGATGCATCATGACAAGGGATTTTACTAAACCCTTTTTGGAAACTTGCATTTTTAAAGAAAGTACTACATACAGAAACCAAAATGTTATTTTAAATTTTTTTAATGGGAAAGAGGGAGTGATTTCGTTGAGAAATGACTAAAGACTGTTTGCCATTAAGGATGCTACATATTGATTAGATGATACCAGGAAATCCTGGCTAGGCTGTTGAGTGAAGCTGTAAACTCCATAGCCTTTCTGGGCAGTGCTGAGAGCCACAGAGGTGCACCGCGGGAGGAAGCATTGGGCAGTGGAGGTCCTCAAGGCTTGTGGGGGCTGTGTCTCCAGAGTCCCGCCCTGGAAACCGATTTGGGTGATGCCAGCCACTTTGCATTTTTCCAGTTGGTGGACTTAGGAAAACCAAAACAAAGTGGGAACCCTGTGGCCACCAGTGAGCTACTAAACAGCTTGTTTCTGTTCATGGAACCATGAGACATTAGCACGGAAGCCTGTGTGGAGGTCAACTCATTCGTGAGCTGAAATGAAGACATTTCCCTCAAGCTCTGTTTGGTAAATGAAAAAGACACTTGGGGTTTCCAGATGTAGTATGAAGGAGCTTTGTTCAGGAGGATTTTTTAATGATGTGCAGCTAAGAGAGAAGGCAGAGAGTGGATCGACCCAGTTGGAATGTCTTAAGATGGTGGAGACAGAAGACTTAACAAGGAGGTGTGAAAAGCTCTTGAACAGCCAGCGTGACTTTTACAGCCTCCATGTAGAACACCCGTTATAATGTATAAGGATTATACATTATAATCCTGCTGGGCAGGATTGAGAGAGCAAATATAAGAAATGGGAGGAAAGTTAAAAACAGCATGAAAGCACGTAGAAGCGGCCGCAGAGTAACTGAGAGGCTTTCCGGCAGAATTATCACAGCCAGGAAGCCAAGGACCAATCTTTCATAATGAGCGTTATGTAATTTAGGTGGCTTAACATGGAATTAAATAAAAACAACACACTAATCGTGTTGACACTGAAAAATCGAAGTGTCACCACAATCCACATGGGGAACTCCTATGGCCCGGATGCGTTTACTTTTTATGTGTACACAAATTTGCATTTTTGGCTTTTTATAATTTTCTTAAAAATATCATCGACTCTCCCCAGTAAAAACACTTGGTACAAAATAAATTCAAGGTTTCTACAAACAAAAGTTAGTAAAACTATCACAGTGCCCGGTCTGAAGGCAGTAAGTAATGCAGCCTGGCTGTCAAGAGTTCAGGGTGGGATCGATTCTGTTTCCCATCCAGGAAGTAGCGTCAATTTCCCTCTACTTGGAGGTTCCACCACCTAATTCATCCTCGGGACTTTCAGAAGAGTTCAGACCTTGGCTCTAAAATTACTTGAGTCACAGACTCCCTGGAGAACTTGAGGAAAGACACTCATCATTTTGCTCAGAAATCACGTCCAGCCAGGCACGCATAGAACTGCGATAGTTTCAGGATGTTCCGAGATCTCTTGGAGCTTGGGGTCCAAACCTTTTTTGTCTGTGTTTTCTTATTTGGATGCCTGTCTACCTTGGTTCAGCCTGTGGAATTAGAGACACTGAAATGTGTTTATAAAGCCTTTCAAGTATAAGCAAAAAGCTTGTTTTGGACCATGAATTTGTATTTATTTATTTTATTGTATTGTATTTTTTTGAGACAGAGTCCACTTTTGTCAGCCAGGCTGGAGTGCAGTGTTGCAATCACAGCTCACTGCTGCCTCAACTGCCTGGGCTCAAGTGCTCAAGTGATCCTCCCGAGTGGCAGGGACTTCAGGTGTGTACCACCTCACCCAGCTAATTTTTGTATTTTGTGTGTATGGAGATGGGGGTTTGCCGTGTTGTCCAGGCTGGTCTCAAGCTCCTAGGCTTAAGCATTTTCCTCCTAGGCTTATTCCTCCTCCCTCGGGCTGGAATGACAGAGCTGCGATTCCTGGCATGAACAACCACACCCAGCCTAGACATTGAATTTTTTGAATGCTGAATAAAACTTGCATATACTACCTGCTCTTAACCATGTTAAAAAATATATTTACACACAGAAAGCAGCAGGAGCAAGAGTGAGGAAGTCATCGCAGTGGTGTTCGTAGGAGGGATTGTGGTGGGATTTCCCTTCTCCTTTATGTCTCTCTCTGTGTAACTTGTGTCCACAAATGCCGTTCTCCAGAATACCTCTCCCAGGTGATGTGGCTGCTGCCAGAGGTGCCTCTCGAGTTCCCGGCCAAGCTCTCTGGGCTTCTGCTTTGACACCTAAACCTGAGGGTGACTGTGGGGTTCAGTGTTGGGAACAGGATGGAAGGTCAAAGGAGAAGCCTGGGCATTTCCACAAGTCCCCGGGTTTACCCCGAGTTTCAGGAGAAAGTCACTGTTGCCCCAACTCTACTCAGCAATGCTGTAGAGTGGAAGACAGGATGCACCGCACCTGTCCTTAGCACAGACACAGCTGCAGGCAGAGGCTTGCAGACAGCCCCTAGGTGTGACCCCTGGTGCTTTGCACTGATGTGCTGGAAGGAGGTGGTGAGGAAGCCAGCTCACCTTCCATCCCCTCATGCCTAGCCCACCGGGAGTTGTGCAGGGAAATTTACAGGAATAGAAATCATCAAGTCCTCAGAAGTGACTCCAGGAAGGAGCCCAAGCCCTCCTGCCCAGTGAGTCCCTGTTATGGGACCATGTTTCCCCCTTCCTCTTGACAGCCCCTCCAGGGTGCACGCCAAGTCCTCCTGCAGATGGGCTTGTGCAAAACCAGCTGAGGCTTGGTAGACACACTCAGGTGCAGTATCTTGATTAAAGGTGATGCCACTGGGCAAAGCCTGGCTCTGACTCCACTCTGTACCCCGTCACCTGACAACATACATGTTAATGGGGTACGATTTTATCACTAGGAAAGGAAAACGCATTTACAAGCATCAACAGCTGCTAACAAGTCAAAAGAAAGATAATCAGACATCATGAGCCTCCTGCTGGAAGAATGCATGATCACTTGTGAAATAATCATATGAGAAAATGGAACCCGAATCTGAAATCTAGATCCAACCACTAAAGAATTAAAAGACAGAGGACAGAGGAACATGAGAACCAGCACCACAGACGTGTAATTCCAGGAGTCCTGTAATGAGCAAAACACACTGTGGGAGACTCAGTGAGGGAAAGATCCGGTTTCTTTAACAAATATATTGAACATAAAAACAAATGAAATTTAAGGGAAATCCTAAAGAATAAAAGAGATGTGAATCTGTTGCAATATCTGGAGTTTACTTGGATTCCTCAAACATATTTTATGATGGCATTGATTACACAGCTGGGAAATGGGACACTAAACGTTCAAGGATGTTAAAGAATCATTAATGCTCAAGATGTTATGATGATATTATGATTATTTTTAAAAAATTCCTTATTTTTTAGGGCTGCATACTGAGATATGCTCATGTCTGGAATCACCTTCAAAATGCCATAGGAATTGGGGGCAAATGCTGAAAATTGCCAAAGTTGAGCAGACAGGAACCCAGAGTGTCTTATTTTTTATATGTTTGTAATTTTGCATTTTTTTAAAAAGAAGAGAACAGACACACTGTGCCAAATAGGGTTCTTTCCAACTCCACTGGAACCCAAAAGCCAGGGAAAGGGAAGGAATGGCAGAGCATTAATCAGGATCTGGGAGGTGAGAAACAGCAGGGGTAGGGAGAGTCTGGGAGGAATGCTCGCCTGGGAAAGGGGGAACTGAAAATAACTGCAGACCGTGGCTGGGAAACCTCACAGCCGCCTCCACATCAGATGTGGGGCTGCTTCTATCAGAGTGATGGTGCCGTTCCTCACTGAGGTCTCTTTGTCCTTCCACAGCTGGTCCGTGGGGAACTGGAGTGCCTGCAGCCGGACGTGCGGCGGGGGTGCCCAAAGCCGCCCCGTGAAGTGCACACGGCAGGTGCACTATAAGTCAGAGCCAGTCCCAGCCAGCCTGTGCCCACAGCCTGCTCCCTCCAGCAGGCAGACCTGCAATGCTCACAGCTGCCCACCTGCATGGAGCGCCGGGCCCTGGGCAGAGGTAACCTGGGCGGGGTTGGCAAGGGTGGCAGCAGGGCCGCTGCAGGATGTGCTGTGTTGCTTGTGGCCCTCGCTGGGCGCTGATCCTGGCTTTTCCGTGCAGTGCTCGCACACCTGTGGGAAGGGGTGGAGGAAGCGGGCAGTGGCCTGTAAGAGCACCAACCCCTCAGCCAGAGCACAGCTGCTGCCTG